CCTTGGCTTGGCATTATAGGTATCACATTTTTACCTACAAAGTGTTACCGCAGTTATTCTTCTATATATTTAATTTTCCTTTCACTGCTAGTATGTGTAGTTATTACTCCTCACCTTGCAGTTATTGTTTGTATTGTTATTTTATTTACCTCTGCAGTCCCATTTGTTAGTAATTATTAATTGCTAGTATTGTGTTACGTTAAATGCTTTATTGACCTGCTGTTATGTGTTATTATTTATTCCTTCTCCTTGTGCCTCGACAGCCACTAGATATGGCAATTCTCTGTATGCATCAGGTGGTAGATTGGTGAATATGGGACAGAGGTTGTGCGATTGAGTTCTTCAAGTGGTGCCATGCCTTGAGTCTTCAGCTTCTCCATCTCTTCATTGGTATTTACGAGGAGTGGGGCGTGGTCCTGCTGTTCGACCTCGTCAATCTACACACAACCTGCATGCCGTGACATTCTTGTTTTTTGCTGTATTGGCCTTCAGTGGTATATCACAGGCTTTCCGGCGCCCTCTGAACAGTTGCGATTGATGGTTTTTCTCTGATTTGGTCTGTTGATTTTTGTTATATGTGATTTGTTTGCTGTTTTCAGCGTGCGCAGAAGAACAGGTGAGCTGGAGCTCGGAAGAGGAGCTTTACCCGCCAAACCTGATTCTTCTGTATCGATCGCATCTCAGAGACTCTGATCAAATGGACCCGACGTGACCTCATTGTATCGATCAAAGCACTGATCGACGCTAACTGAACTGCGCGTTTCGGCCCAGATGTACTCGATTTTGGGAAAATAATATTAAAGAAATATATATATTTTGGAGATCTGAAGAAGTCATTCAGAGTGAACCAGAACCATTGATCCTATAACATGAATCATAGGAGGGCCTGTAGCCAAAGACACACTATAGGGGCTGCTTGGCCCCCGCCCACTTTACGGAATTTTTTAAATTTTTCGACACCTGACTGCACAGTATAAAAAGCGGAGAGCTTAACAGTTAAGTACAAGTATATTTTTCCTGAGTCTCCTTTATTTCCTCAGAATCCTTCCTTCAACGCTTCTTTGTTATAAATAAAAAGGGTCTCTACCATTAACAGGAATGCGTGATCTTCTTGTCATAACCACTTTCTTGGTGAAACTAGTAAAAATGAAACAAAACAAAATAGTCCCCGTCACCAGCAGTGTCTGTTTTATCATTTTTTCACAAGTTTTGTTTATTTTTCTCTAAATTTATCATGTTATGTGTCTCAGTGGTGGTTGTTACCTATTAAGAAAACACAAATAAGCTTTTTTTAGCTCTTATTGCTCTTAGCCTGTAATTTTCTAACTTTTAGCTGTTTATTAATTGCTTTTCTTTTACAATCCAAGAGCTGTAAGTAAACCTAGCTCTGATGATCGCTCCCCATATAGTATAAATATGGATGAAACTGTAATGCTGAGCTTTAGCTTCTTGAGATTGATTGCCTGTATGGTCTATTTCATTAATGCAACTATCCCCTTTTCAATGGCTTTTAGTTCCCAACAAAAACTTGGTTGCTCTGTCAGTCTTTCTGTAATATAAAAAGGCTCTGTGCTTATAGACTTTTCATTAGCCACTTAGAGAAAAATGAAGTACCAATGCTAAAGTCTCAACTTTAGCTCTACATAAGCTTTATGTACAGTCTGCTCTAGCGTACATTGGATTAATATTAGCTCAGGACAGGTTTTGAGGGTTAGGGTTAGGGGTTGCAATTTCCAGCTTGGGCAATCCAACTAAAGTATATCGCTAGGTCTATCTACGCTCATACCATTAGCCCTTAATATTAGCTCTAAGCTAAGTGTTGCTAGCTCTCCTGCCTCCACAGAACCATCAGAGTTACAGGAGAGTGAGGGAGCTGGGCCAATAACGATGTGTAATCAGAAGGAAATGAGCGAAAACCGCTGTTCAACCATAGTCCGCAACGGACACTGGACCATTCAACAAAAGTAAATCTTAGCTCCATGTCACTTTCCATGACATAACGCTGAAGTCAATGTAACCAGATTTCTAGATAAAATGTTGTTGTGCCTTGAAGGTTTTTAGCAGTGCAATTTCTTGTGTTTCCGTCACAACATTTATATATAAATAATACAAAATAAAAGTTTCATGTGAAATATTGATTCAGCTGAAAATGTGACATAAAACATTTCTTTAACAGACAGAGTCCGCTGTTTGTTGGAGCACTGTCCTGTCTAACAACACCATGTTCCTCCTTTCACCTGGTTCCCCTTTCTTCACATATATCCTGTTCTCCCTTTCACCCTGTCTCCCTTTTCACATATAAACAGGTGAAAAGGAGAACAGGTGTTGTAGACAGAAGTTGCTCCAACAAACAGCGGACTCTGTCTGTTAAAGAAATGTTTTATTGTCACATTTTCACTGATCCAAATATTCACATGAAACTTTACGGATAATAAAGTGACGGAAACACAAAGAAATTCACTGTAAAACCTTCAAACAACAACATTTATTCTAAATCTGTTACATTGACTTCAGCTTTATGTCACTAGAAAGTGACATGGACTAAATACTTTGTGATTCCAGTGTCACGTTGCGACTATTTGAACAGCGTTTTCGCTCATTTCCTCTGATTACACATCTTATTGGCAGCTCCCTCACTCTCCTGTAACTCTGATGTTCCTGTGAGGGCAGGAGAGCTAGCTAACACTTAGCTAGAGCTAATATTAAGCTAATGTAGAGCTAGATAGATAGATATACTTTATTGATCCCAAGCTGGGAAATTGCAACCCTAACCCTAACCCTAAAACTTTCCTAGAGCTAATATTAACCTAATGTAGCTAGAGCAGACTTACATAAAGCTTATGTAGAGCTAAAGTAGACCTAGCATGGAGCCATTCAGTGCTAATGAAAGCTATAGCACAGAGCCAATACAGAGCTGACAGAGCCAAACTAAAGCTAAGATAGTGCTAATGTAGACCATACAGGCCTCATGTAGAGCTAAAGTAGAATTACAGCCAAACTAGAGCGATCACAGAGCTAACTACAGCTAATATAAAGCTAAAGTAGAATTACAGCTAACATAAAGCTAAAATAGTGCTAATAGTAACACTGAGACATAACAGAAAAATAAATACAAATTTGTGTAAACAGCTGTGTGACGGGACTATTTTTCATTTACAGCTCAGAAGTGTTTGACATTACTTCCTGTTTGTAGACCCTATACAAGTGCTTGAAAAGGTTCTGGAAAAAGGGAGACTCAGATATACTTGTCTTCTGTTAGTCCTTGTATGTCAGTCAGTGTCGGAGTGACGGCAGCAGCGTCCAATCATATGGTAATGTTCTGGTTCCTGTTTCTTCAATCTCCAAAATAAAGTTCTTTAAAGTAACATCTGGAGAACAGTTCAGTCTGCGTGATCAGTGCTTTATCGATCAATGAGGTCACCGTCGGGTCCATTTGATCAGAGTCTCTGGTGATCGATACAGGAAGATCAGTTTGGCGTAAAGCTCCTCTTCCAGCTCCAGCTCACCTGTCTCTCGCACCTGAAAACAGCAACCAATCACATTAACAAATCACAGCCAATCAGGTCAATCGCACTGTTCAGGGGGCGGAGCCTGTGTTAATGAGGCATACCAAGAAGATGTCGGTGCAGAGTTTGAGGATGCGGTCGACGCAGGGCAGCTCCTCGAACATGATGGAGTGACTGATCCCACTGAAGAACTCTCGCACAAACTTCCCAATCACCAACACCACCGAGGCATACAATCCCATGATGCTGCGGGGCACAGGAAGAAGATAATACTACACATACTGCAGTAA